GGCGAGACGCTCACCAGCAGCCGCCTGCAGTAGCCGATCTTCCTGCTGCCGTCCACGTTGGTCAGGACAAAAGAAAAGGTTTCGCTGCAAGGAAAGACAATGCGTGGGGATGGGACAGCTCTGCCAGCCCGCGGCCCTCAGGGGGGTGACACCCTCAGAGTAGGTCAGGTACCTGGTGAACTCGGTGACGGGGGCCCAGTTGTTGCCGTCGGGGAAGCAGAAGAGGGGGATGGCTTGCAGGAGACGTTCCTCCTCCTCCTTCTGGCCCTTCAGCAAGTTCTCGCGCTGGAAAAAAAAGTGACATCAAGAGTCAGGGCGGTGGAAGGTGCCCAGAGGCCCAGGGGACAAGGTGGGATGAGCGGTGACCCAAAGCAATCCCAAACTCAGAGCAATGCAGAGGGTGCTCACACATCCCTCAACAAGCATCTCCCCAAAATCCTCTTTTTTACCCCATGGGCAAAGCAGAAGCACCCAGAGGCCCCTCTGCAAACAGGGGAGGCTCCTCCTGTGCCACTTCCCCACCGTGTGGTTTCATTGCTCTGGTCTCCCCTCTTGGGACAGGAGACCAGGGAGCATCCCAGGATTTTCCTCCTGGGATTTTTGGCCCCGGGCTCAGAGCACAGGGAGGGACAGACAGTCCCTGCAACCCCAACCGAGGCAGGCAGAGCCCTGGGGTTCAGGTCTGCGACCCCGGGGCATGGAGTGTTTTTCTGCTCTCCCCCCCCAGCTCTAGAGCCAGGGAAGGAGCAGCATCCCCTTTTCCTCTAGACTTGAAAAAATCTCATCTTCCTGGAAACATGGGACTAAATACCTTTGGGAACTGGTAAGTTATCTTGGGTTCGTAACGTCCGTCCAACATCTTCTTCAGCGACACCACCACCAGGTACTCGAAGAAAAACTGTCCGGCAGAATAAAGGACTGAGCTCCGCTCTCCTGCCTTCCCCTGTGGCACCCGCGAGGGGTGGTTTTCTGCAGAAGGGGCCTCATCTTTTCCTTCTGTAGGTAAAAAAACCCAAACAAATAAACAAAAACCAGAGTGAAATGAAAGGCAGAAGGTGTCCCAAGGGCAGGAGAGGAGATGCGGAGCTAATCACGAACCAACGAAAGAGACTGGAGGGAACTGGGACCTGGTGCACAGGGAGTTTGGGTCCCCAGCAGTGAATGGCTGGGGACAGCGAAAGGAAAGAGAAATGGCTCTTAGGAGACTTTGGATTGCACCAAAGTGCCATCAGACACCCCCAGCCCTCCTTTGCCCCATCCCAGCCAGGGCAGAGGGATGCCCAGAGCAAAGCTGACACATGGGATCACAGAATCACACAGAATCACAGAATAATTGAGGCTGGAAAAACCTCTGAGATCAAGTCCAGGTTATACAGACGGTCTGTGCAGAAAGCATCCAGGGAAAGGTGTGGGAATGCTTTTATAGCAGTTAATTTTATTCCCTTAGGGGAAAAAACAACAACAGTAAACAAACAGCACAGATCTTGTTCGAGCACCTCCAAAGGCTCCAGCCAGATGAATCCCAACCTCTCCCTGCCAGATGTCCTCAGTCCTGGGAACAGGCGATTGCAAATGAGATACTTGAGGGCTTTCCCTAAACCACAGCTCTCAAAGCAAAGCAGTTCCCTGAGATTACACCCCATTTCTTGCTCGGCCGGTTGGGGAGGACAGCTGGGGAGTGTCAGATCTCCCAACCCGAAAAACTAGAAATAAGAATGGAAAGAGCCAATGCTGACATCTCCAAGAGCCCTGGGATGATCATGGTGGGGCCGTAAGAGCCCAGGGCTGGGAAGGAGAAGAGTTAAACGCCGCTGGGAGCCTCAGCCAGGCTGTGCCACAGATCTCCCCTCTCCCAGCAGCTGCTTGAGACTCTCCACATCCCTGGTTCCTGGTGCTGAAACTGTCCCAGGCTTGGTCTCATCTCTGGTTATGGTGGAGAGCTTGGAACAGAAATGCTTGAGCTGCTCCTAGGAACAACAGGCAGGAAAGTAAACGCGTGGCTGCATGAAATAACCGACTCTTTCAGTCTGCCCCTGTGTCCTGGAGCTTGGCCCCAGGCTCTCCTGGTTGTGCTGCAGCTTGGCAGGACAAGGCACGACCATGGCCGGCTGCTCCCTTCGTCCTTCCTCACCCATGACATCCTCCTCCGAAACGGATGGACACTCCATCCCTGTATCCCCCCGGCTCCGTAGCTGTCTCCTTTGGTCTGGAAACACCTTTCCAGCCTTTGCTCCAGGTTATTGGGAGCCGATGGGAGTAGAAAGCTCATCCGAGGAGATGATACATTGTGGGATTTCCCTTCCCAGTGATCAGAAATGCCTCTCCTAGCTTGGGTGGGGACACGCACAAAGCCACCCCCGTGTGCAACGTGGGGCTGTTCCACCTCCGCATGCAAAGTCCTTCCTCTTGGCAAGGTGAAATTCATCCCAAAGAGGAAAACCCAGGAGCATCCCAAGGATGGGATCCAGCTGCAGATACCTCTGGTTTCTTCTCATCAGGGATCACCAAGATCCCAGCAACACGCTCCAGGCCAGGGCAAAAAGGTCGACAAGGTGCATTTTGTTTCTCCTGCTCTTCCTTGAGATGCTCCAGCAACAGCTTCAGTCCGATCTCACTGGGCTGGGGCAGGAGGTTGTTGCTGGGGGGACCCCAGCGAACGGGGCAGGGTGGTGGGGAGAGCTGCTGGGGTCCTCCATCCTCGCTGGATGCCGGTGTTGGTTGTTTTCCCATCGCAGAGAACCAGGGTAAGGTGCAAGTCCAGTTAAATCCTGCCTATCCCGTCCCACCCTGCGTTTCACAGAAGAGCTGG